CTCCCCGACCAGCCCCTGAGCTCCCAGGAGGACCGTCCGTCTTCATCTTCCCCCCGAAACCCAGGGACATCCTCACAATATCCCAAACACCCGAGGTCACATGCGTTGTGGTTGACGTGAGCCATGAGGACCCCGATGTCCAGTTCTCCTGGTACGTGGATGATGTAGAGTTGCGAACGGCCAAGACGAAGCCAAAGGAGGAGCAGTTCAACAGCACCTACCGTGTGGTCAGCGCCCTGCCCATCCAGCACCAGGACTGGCTGAAGGGGAAGGTGTTCACGTGCAAGGTCAACAACAAAGGCCTCCCGGCCCCCATCGTGAGGACCATCTCCAAGGCCAAAGGTGGGCCCGGTGGACGGGCGCAGGAGGGTCCCTGGGCGCCAAGAGCAGTGAGCTTCATGCTAACAGCCATTCCTCTCCGCACAGGGCAGCCCCGGGAGCCGCAGGTGTACGTACTGGCCCCAGCGCGGGAAGAGCTGGCCAAGAGCTCGGTCAGCGTAACCTGCATGGTCATCGCCTTCTACCCGGCCGACATCGACGTGGGGTGGCACAGAAACGGGCAGCCGGAGCCAGAGGGCAACTACGGCACGACCCCGGCCCAGCTGGACGCCGACGGCTCCTTCTTCCTGTACAGCAGGCTCAGGGTGGACAAGAGGAGCTGGCAGCGCGGAGACACCTACACGTGTGTAGTGTTGCACGAGGCGCTACACAACCACAACTCGCAGAAGTCCATCACCCAGTCTTCGGGTAAATGAGCCACACGGCGTTGCTGCCCAGCGAGCCCTCCCTCCCCTTGGGCTCTCAGGGTCCAGCGAGGACTCCTGAGCCCCAGCCCTGTGTACACTCCTCCCGGGCGCCATGAAATAAAGCGCCCAGCGCCGCCCTGGGACCCCGCAATGCTGTCATGGTTCTTTCCGAGCAGAGCCCTGGGGCACGCCGGGCCTGCATGGGGCAGGGGCGGGCCCGGCTCTGGGTCACAGTTTGTCACCACCAGTGCGGGCGAGCTGACCCCCTCAGGGCCGGACCCAGCGTGTGCGGGTCTGCGCAGGCCGCTTGGGGGCTGCCCGAGGCCGGGGAGGGCCTCTCCCGGAGGGGACAGCTGCTCCGGCCGCCCTCCACCCAGCAGCTGCTGGGGCTGGAGTGTGTGCCCGGGACGGGAGACCCTCAGGAGAGTGAGTGCCCACTTCCTCCTGCCCCTGTTCCAGCCCAATCAGTGGGACACTGGCCGTCCTTGTCCCCACGTTCCTGTCCCCGGCTCCAGAGTCCGCGTGCCGGCTCTCCGCCCTCACGGGGGCCACACACGGCCCGGGGTTGGGGGACGGCCCGGCTGCACTGTCAGGCACGGGAGGTCAGGACCGCCCCGCCTCAGGCCAGGTGGATCTGCCCTGCTTGTCCCTGCCAGGGGCAGGCCTGTGCACTCGTGGGGACACTCATCCCTGTGCCCACAAGGGGCAGAGGCAAGCGGCCCTGAGTGCCCGGGGGGGGACCCTCCAGACGCACCCATGGACACTGAGCCCAGAGCCATTGAAAACAAGCCCCGCACTGAGCCACACCAGCCGGCACACCACCACCTTCATCCACACGCACTCACCTGCCCACGTACACGCGTGTGCAGTGCGCCCATCACAACACCCACACGCGTGCACACTCGCGGGCCTTGCACACGGGCCCTCCCACAGGGCAGCCGCACAGACGCACACCCGACCACAGAGCTGGGTCTCATGAGCCCTCACCGTAGACCCCAGGCTGGTCCCCACCCTCCAACGCCCATGGGACAGAGACCAGCACTGTCCTGCCCCTTCCCTGGACCAGGGCCCACAGCCCACGCACGCTGCTGACACTCCCACCCTCCAGGTCTGGCCCCCAGCGGGAGAGGCGGCCGGGGCCTGAGCCACTGTCCTGCAGGGGGTCCGGGCACCCTCCCCGCAAGGGCCCCAGCTCAGCGCACAGCACCGGGGAGGGAGCAGGACCCACTGGCAAGGCCGATTTCGCAATAATAATCAGAAGAAACTTACAAATTACTAGATATTAAAATTATTATTAAACTGTAATAAATAAACAGTTGTTACTGAGACATAAATTGATCAATAGCAAAGAGCAGATCCACACAAACATAAAAACATAGGGGATTTAAAGAATTATAAGGGCCGGGCTTCCCTGGTGGCGCAGTGCTTGAGAGTCCGCCTGCCGATGCAGGAGACGCGGGTTCGTGCCCCGTTTCGGGAAGATCCCACATGCCGCGGAGCGGCTGGGCCCGTGAGCCATGGCCACTGAGCCTGCGCGTCCGGAGCCTGTGCTCCGCAAATGGGAGAGGCCACGACAGTGAGAGGCCTG